CCCCAAAACCCCAAAACCCCAAAACCCCAAAACCCCTGGCTAATTTTAAATACTTGAAGAGTTCTATAGATGAATTTATCCAAAGAAGGCTCCTTTGATTCTTCCCAGAAGACTTGATCCTTGGCTGGCTTTGCTCTCAATCTCCTTGATAGTAGATGAAATTTCAGGGTATTCGATTCCATCTCCTGCGATATCGAACAAGAATGGCTTTGGCATCACTGGTTGGAGTTTACTTGAGAGATCAATGATCTTAGATTTTTTGTTAATCTTTATCTTCTTCCTGAGTAGTTCATCAATGTTGTTCTCATCATAATCTTCCAGGAACAGCACGTTCTTGCCTCCAGTGTTGAGGATATTCATGTTTCCATCGATTAGCTCAGTTTTTATACTTTTAGCAGCAGAAATATCCTTCAAGTTGCCATTGTCATCAAAAAGCCATTCTGCGATGTTGAGGATATTATCTGTGTATTGCTTTTGCTTATCGGCAAGTTCAAGATTTCCTAAGTCTTCGCCAAGCTCATCGACTTCTTTTTGCTGTTCCAGCATCATGACTGCTTGGGTCTTGCAAAGGACATATTCGATTTGGTTCTCATTGAAGATTTTTAGTTCCTCGATTTCTTGCTTTGTAGCATCACTTTGAGCATATTCGAAACATCTTTGAGCTTCTTCTCTTGTTCTTTTAATGACGAGGAATGAATGGCGGTATCTTTTCTCATTGGCATAATGAACAGATATATAAAACTTCAAATACACTTGAATGATCATTTCTCTATGCTGATACTCGTTTAGCTTATCTGGGCTCAAAGCGTCATTCTCTTGAGAAATCTTCTTCAGTGCTCTAAGTGCCTTATCAAATAATTTCATGACTAATTGGGGTCTTTGAGCAGCCTTGAGCTTTTGCTTTGTGAAAACTTGTGCTAAAGGGATATTTTCAGCATTGGCGAATGCCTTAAGAAGGCATCTTTCAAGAATGCTGTTGTTCTTAATAGAGTTAACATAGCCAAGTAAAAGGTTGTACAGAGTTCCTGAGGCTTCACTCTTTTTGATCTCTTCTCCTTTTTCTTTCTGGATGACTACAATACATCCCTCAATTATGTGAAGTAGGTGAGTATAGCTATCTACCTTATCTTTGAGAGATAAATCGTCACTATTACGCACCTTTTCAAGCTCAGCTTGGCCTGACTCTAGCTTTGCAAAGGAGCTCTTCAATTTCTGTGTTTTTAGAGGAATTGATTTCCCTTGATAAGTGATGTTTATGAGCTCTTCATTGTTGTCTCTTCTACCACCTGAAAGAGACTCTTCCACTTTTTGAGATAATTTCTCTTCAGCATCCAGCTTTTTCTCAAGCTCCTCGAGGTTTGAGAGGTCTTCATCAGTCTCTTTTGAGATATTGTAGGTGCAAAGTCTGATGAGAGGCTCGATCTGCTCAAGTTTTTCACTATAAATTGCAGCCTTGAGGGCGTCCTTTGATCTAGAAATGTGTTTGTAGATAACATTTGTTCTCAGGAATGCATCCAAAGCTTCCTTATAATTAGAGCATTCTACATCAAGACTTGCTTTAATGGAATCAAGGTATGCTTCAGCTTCAAGAGTTGTTTGAGGATCCCATAATTCTTTAATGATTCCATAGAAGATTTGAGCTTGTTGGTAAGCCCTTCTCATTTTCTTTCTGGCAGTATGCTTATTTCTGCTGCACTCATCCCCATTTTCGGTAAGTTGCTGCTTGAGAAACATGGCGTTGGCCCAGTCCCTCTCTGCAGTGAAGAGAGGGATTTGGACACCTCTCTCATTTTCTCTGACTTTCTCTGCGGTGACTTCGTTCTTTACGAATTTACGCCTTCCTTGGGTTAATTTGGCTGCTTTTCTCAACCTGTGGATTTTCCTTGAGCAATATTTGTAATATCTGTAGTAATCATTGCTTCTGAGACCATTCTGGTTCTGGGAGGTCTTCACCATAACTAGAACATCTAGTGGGACAAAGAAGCTGTCCTCTGGCTCCTGCTTTTGGTCTTCCTCTTGTTCCATGTTGGTATCGATAGGTTGGTCTGTATCCTGTCCAGACATTTTTAATTTTATTAATAACAGCTGTTTAGTGGGGTTTTGGGGTTTTGGGGTTTTGGGGTTTTGGGG